AGTCTGTCACCCAATTCCAATACCCGTAACATCTTAGAAATTGGGTGAATTTTTTTGATGTTTAACGGTCATCATGTGCGAATCAGCGGAATTTTTAGGTCAACACACGGCGTTGGCGGTGTAGGCGGCGACTCGTTCATGGATAAGAACAGCAACGGAGGCGGTCTCTTCGGCAACAATAGACAAAATGTAAGTTTGAAATACGTCTCCATCAATTCGGGGACTTTTTTGGAAACCACAGATGAGCCTTCCTGGAGGTCATGCTAAGGCAGCACGATTAGTACCCTCTTAACCGCTACAGTACCGTTTAAGAGGTAAAGAGCTGGAGCCGACAATTACGTAAAGATAACTGCTACAAATGGTGCTCAAACCTCATGCCGGTTGCTTCTATCCGAGATGCGGCTCCCTCCTCAGGGAACATTACTCCAAGTCGTTGCCATTCAGGCTATTCAGGACCGGTAACATTTAGAGGGCTCTTTTTATCACCGCGCAAGTGAAGTGCCTGACACTGGTCAACCTCCCCGGGCGCCACGAAGTTGACATTATTGGATGGGATGCGTTACCAGGGCATGTCGTGCATTGGGGATCCTAGCGAGGTTAGGAGGGGAAGAGGGGTGAGGGCTTATAAGGTTGCTAGAGCGAGCAGTCATAACTACTTTTGAGTGTCTTGGATGGGACTTTATAAGCAGCCATAGCAGGTAACAGCCGCGCCCCAACTCATACAAGCTTATAGTCCTTTTCTCGGTGAAATGCAAAGGAGCCTTTTCTGAGTGAGGTATCCCCTTTCAAGGCTATTCCCGGTGAACTGTAAAAAGTGGGTCAGTCGGAGAAGATCCATGCAACTGACCACAGTTCTCGAAGCGCAGAAAGACCATTATAAGAGCCAAATGTCACACAACCATTTTCCCCACTCAGCCCGGCAGGCTTCAGTTCAGAAAACCGGTACGGTTTGGAGCTCCAGACCTCTTCCAATCTACCAAATTGAGACTGCTGAGCTTCTCTCACCAATGGATTCAACCAACCACTGATGGATCGTATTACTCTGAGCGATTCATCCGTAGTAATACATCATTACAAACAAATCGCCCTAAACGGTTGGACCCCTCGAGATCTCAGCGTGCCCCCACAGGAACCCGCGCGAGGCTCTCGCTCCGTTTTGGCCAGCAGAGTATAGTTGCATATCGCTCTCCGACCATTGTCTTTGCGTCCCGGGCGTCATCCGAAGAATAGTGGATGACCCCATTTCAGCGAGGCTTTCCCATATAAGGCACACTCTACGTTTCAGGACCGCCCATTCGACTCATTCTTCAACAACCAAGGTCCCTGTGGCTGTGCCTCTTCATCGAGTGCCGGTGGAGGACTATTTTCACGAAAATGAATGTCAGGTTAGTAATTATTTACGTTTTCAAGTGATCTTGACCACCTATCTTTCCGCCTTCTCGTTTCGCCGCAGCGGGGCTCAACCTGTGACCTCGTCGTGTGATCCTCGTGTGTCTGTACGCGTGTGTTAACCTATCATCTCATATGTTTTTCTGGCGCATCCCGCGACATTCAAGGTTATACAGCGCGTAGTTTTACCCTACTGACCCGCAGCCCATAGCCAACAAAAACATCCTCGTCTGAACGCGCCGTGTGATGGGAGGAGACGAAAAACGCTACGATGCGCAACTCGATCACAGTGATCAGCGCCGTTAAGGGTAGCAATCACGCAGCCGTCAGCCGGCTAGCTGGGCATGTAGCCGCGAGCGAAGTTCAGTTCAGAAGACAATCATAACAAAACGACACCGTACACCCGCCTGTTTGGTGACCGTTTTCGTCTTAGCTTCGCTCCGAGGGATCTTAGCTTCCAGGCTTTGGATTTCGTTTAATTTTCTTTATTTTTGAACGTTCAAAGCTCTCGACATGTTCCTTCAAAATGCTTGCTATCTGCTACCCACAGTATGATCCTGAGCAGAACCTACTGGGCTAAAAGACAACTTCTCGATCCCCAGGATACATACTGCTACCCGCCGCAAGTATTTCACCTGCATTGCACAATCCAGGCTGATTTATGGAATTCGCTTCAGCTTTTAATTCTATATTTGCGACCGAACTTTCAACATTGTGGCCAGCTCTGGACATCGTAGCCAACCGATGTACCAATCAATCTGAGCCCAGTCCAATACAAGCTGAACGAAGATGGAGGGATAGAAGTCTCGGTCGCCTTAGGAGGTACTCTATCCGTGATTTGACCCTCGAATAGTGCGCGAAGTGAGCGGCGGCACTTGTTGCCACTACACAATTCCCGCTTTGAGAAAGAAATCGCTCAATGTTTCTGAAATACATCACCAAGTGCCCACCTTCAAATCGCGGAAACTTCTGACCCATAAATCACTTGTGGGGCTGCGACATCCACGTCAGCGCTTTCTCCTTCTCGAGAAGCCTGCAAGCACTACATTGAAATGACGCAGTGTGGGGGAGGGGACTGTGAGCTGTTCAAAACACTTTTATTCCACCTCTGGAAGGATTACCATTTCTACTGCTTAATCCAAAAGGCTAGCGCTCCGTAAATCCTACGATCTCGAGTATATTACGAGACTCGAGTATATTACGAAAGCATGGCAGAACTTCTAAAGACGGAGAGCCTGACCTGTTCCCCATGGACGGAGAGCCTGACCTGTTCCCCATGAATTCATGACTCCTCGAAAACCGGAGGACATTCGTAGACTGATCTAAATGATTTTGCTTGATTGTCCTATCTGCCAGCCAGAGATCTGCGCGAGATTATAAAAGGCCCACCTCCCCTTTCTCTCCAAAATTTGATTAAGGTCAAGTGGTAAGTTACAAGCTCGAGTCTTACGCGAGGCACGATGCTCTTTTTCTGCGAACATCCCGCACGACTCCCAAGGCTCTTCCCCTTTGACATTCCGCCGATTTGCAACCTTATCAGGCATTGGGAAGAGGAAGATCCGGATATTGTGCTAGTGTGCTTTTTGAAAGGCCTATTGCAAGGGATATTGAATGCTCGAATGACCAGAAATCTCAGTGACTCATATATTTATGGGATTCTTATGGCTATACGGAATAAGCAAAACAAAAAAGTTCCTCACATGAGCATAGCTAATTAAATCAAATTGTTTGCATCCTGTTTCACTATAATGCCCCTCCCGTCGCCATTCAGATTTGTGATCTATGTCACAAGAATGTTCCTCATTCATCAGGATGTGCAATGAAGTAGTGAAATCACTCACTAAGAATACGAGGAGAGGTTCCCAATCCAGTGCCTACAACTTCCGATACAGGAGAGGACAGCCGTGTGCGTATTGGGAAGTTCGTGCCTTAAGTGATTACGTAATATGTGAAACGCTTGTTTATCGCTTTGGATCGTAAGAGGAAACCAATATCCAAAGTGTAGTCAAAGCTAGTGTTGCTGGTATATTGGGAACCATCATTTACCCTTTAGATGGTCAGCGGGCGCTGGCGAATCCCCACTGGGGGGGGGGGGGGGAATTCGGTAGGTGGAGAATGAAGGATCGTATTTGATCTCGAGAATTTCTTTTCGTACGTGAAAAAACCCTTCCCATTCTTGATTTTTCGTGTTTTTCCCTTTCGCATGCGCAATACATACGTACCCCATCCACAGCCGCTCGAGGGAAGCTTTCTCAGCCAAATTTCAGCGAGACAAATAAAAAATTTCTCCGGTAAAGTTTAGTAAAGTGGTAAAGACAAGAGAAGACAGGAAGTTAAGGGAATAAGTTCTCAGCAAGGTATTAAGCAGAGTGGTAAGTCAGTTTCACAGAAGGATTGGGGGGCATGCTTCTCACAATTGCCCTCAACTTGCAAGGCTCAAAGCTAGGCTACTCGGTTCGCCGTAGCATATCGATTAAGACTGAGACCAGTCTAAGAGGTAAGCGGAGCTGGTGTCTTACTCCATATCATGAGTTTTTTCTGCTCAAAGACCACGCCTGACAACGTTGGAAATTTTTTTAGAGGATTCTCTTTCTTCCCGCACGATTTGATGAACTACTCATACTTATATCAAGGTGTTGACGGAAATCGCATGGCATATCGGTCCAGATTTGAAATTATCGGAGAACGGAGCTACTGTTTTTATTGAGTCGTTTCCTTTGTGACCAAACGAATTCATAAGACAGGCTTTCGACTGTCGCGACCAGCCCATTCCGCTTGCGATGCGACGCTCGGAGCCGATCGGGAATGTGCATGGCTTTCCAATGGCATCATCGCGCAGAACGCACGACTTGAAGTTGGCTGCCCTCCGTCTCTGCACTACACGGTAACCGTTCGACGTAAGAGGAAGGTTGTAGCCGACACCAATATGACCACTATCTCCTTCCCCTCCGACCCTCTCAGACCCTTTCACGGCCACTGAACAAACTGTATAACTCTTGAGATCCACACTCATTAATCATCCTAACGAAAGCCCTGTGCCGATCTTTTCTCTTAATAGATTAGTTCGGCTAATAAATGTACCACTCTACCTTCGCTGTCGACCAGAATTTCTGTCACCTCTCGTCTAATTTCCAAAGTTCGGGGGAGAAGCGGCGGCTGGGAGGGGGTGCTACTCAATCCCTGATGTTCTGGCGAATTACTCCTGGCTGGTAAGTTATTTTCATATTCGGCTGTGCTCTTTGTGAAAAATTGCGCAGGGTTTTGCCATTTAGTAAAAAGTCACTCGCGAATCACTGGAATTCATTTTTACTTCTGAATCTCTCAAGAATATGGCCAATGCGTCACAGTAATCAAAAGAATGAATACGCAACGAATATTTTGTAAATCCCCCTCATAGTAGTTCCAAATAACTTGAGAATTCAGAAATAACTGAATAGAAGCATTTTGTGGACTCGCACGAGTGGTCTCGAAAAACTATCACCTCTGCCAAGGATCTGAAATTGTAGTCTCGCATTTAGAACCACCTTCGTACAATAATTGTTCCTTGGGCCTCAGGCCGATCAAGAACGTACGCGCTGCAAAGCTCTCAGACCTGACCAATACACCCTCTCATGCAAGTCTCAAGCCAGTCCTTTACAAAGCTATTCTATTTCAGGCTTCGCCCGTCATTACTCGTTCTTGTAATTACTCTTCTTACTATTTCATCTTCTGTTCGTGGCGACGTTAACTTGCCCGAGTGCCATGATATCCCAAAAGTGCTGTGTTGTACCGAACGTGTGTTAGGTGAGTGATGATTATGCTCGTTCTCTGTGGTGCCTATAGAGATATGATTTCATGCTGTGTGATCGCAGTGATCAGCGCCATTGTGCTATCTATAGGGATAGGAATGTGGGTGGATACGTAGGGTGGATCACTTTGGTGATACTTCGGGATCACGTGATTCCACAGAGATTGTCCTTATGAGATGAGAAACTTGTTCTCTTCACCTGAGGCTCATATGGGATGTGTGTGGGTGACGAAATAACGGACACGAATTGGGCCGCCGTCGATCAGTAGCTTTGCGATATATCGTTGATGATCACGTGCTTTTCGGCGAATTCGATCTCTACGACACAAGGAACTAAGTCTTTGGACTATATGGTGCGAATGCGGGGGGAATAGGTCTTCAGACCGATTCTGAAACATGGTCGAATCTCAGCAGAGACTTCCTCCGCTAGCTCGCAATCCGATCTGTGTCCAACGGCATAAGGCACTAATTTTGTGCTCGAAATGGAAAAAAGTGGCGAAAAAGGAAGTGAAACGGTAAAAAAAAACTGCAAAGCCTTTGTTCTATACGACTCAAGGAGCGATTTCGGACGAGTACCCTGCTGGCCGTGCTCAGATAACCACTACGGTAGATATGCCTGCATGTTTACACTCATATATCCATGCAGCACCGCAGCCGCTTCATACCAATCCCTTCGCTTCATATTTTACTTCGCAAATGAAGCGATACGAGTATCAGCAAAGGTCGGACATTTGTGGGCGTCCGGGTTGATATGTTGCAGCTTAATAGGGCGCTATAAGAGTACCATCCTCAGAGAAGCCGCCACAAAGGCCTGGTGAGGGCGCCGTATTCTGTTCCGCAAGGCGTGTTAATCCTACACGTATTGGGGATCCTCTATGGGGTGACAGATGTTCCTGTACACCATCTACTTTTTCTATTTTTGTTCCTACCAAAACGTCCCGAGCGGCAGATTTAGAGGGTTGGGATCCATTTTACATGAACTAGTCCAGTTGATATCGTCGCAATCAGTCAGGGTGGTTTTAAGTGGTGAAGAATGAGCCTACTTGCTGCATTTTCATCACCCAATCTGAATAAAAAAACCTATGGAAGCGAGTCTACATCACCCCTCCTCACACCGTTCCGACTGACTGCGACGATATCATCAATATTTGAAAGTGCAAATTAGTGCAAGCGTGGATCTAGGTGCCGTTGCAAATGTTGCAGGAAACTGCGGTAGCTCATCGAATACGTACATAAATCACCATTTTCAGATAAATGCTTGACTGGTTGTGTTGACTATGTGACGGAGAAATGCCCTCGTAAACTCCAAAAATATGACACGATTGAGGAGAAGAAATCGGTTTCAGACAATAAGGTGAAGTTTTTCAAATAGCGGTGTTCTCAATCAGTTCAGAACGGGATATTGAAAGGCTGCCAAAGCGAGTGAGATGGTAACGCGGGTGCAGCGTGAAGTGGATGGCGCATCCCATTTATGTAGCTGACCAGTAGGTGGTACAGTTGTGATCCCCCAAAACGATTGGGCGCAGGACGGCGGCGTGACTTGGAGCGCAGCCAGAGCAGATTTTCACCAATTGTAGGGGACTGAGGACGGGAACAAAGCCGCCCTGGCTGCTTTTCCGACCGCGCTGCGTCAAACGCCCAATCGTTTGCATGTGTCACCACTCTATGTATGGGCCACGCTAAGTTAGTTTCCTGGCCACCAGCCCGTTTATTCAACTTTATTCGCAAGTTTGTAACTGATCAATAAGCACAAATAAGCATATATATGCTGCGCCACGTACTAGCATTCCTTTCAGAATCAATGAAGGAGTGGACACGTACCCGTCGCAACAACCTGAGAACCTGCCGACGCTCTAAATAGAGACTTCCTCGCCATGCATATTATACGTTCACCACTTTGAAGTGCTGAAGGGGTTGGCTGGGTTAAGCGGGGTCCGATCTATGAGCCATAGTCGTGGCAGGCGTGTCTAGTACCAGTGAGCCACCACAACGTTGAACATAAGTCAGTAGTTGAGAAGGTAAGAGTGGTCCCGGTAGCGTGATGGATAACGCTCGAAACCCGTCCCGCGTTCGATTTTTGCCCACATCTCAGCATCCTTGCGATAACTCCGTAGTGTTTGGTCCTGTTGCTAGCGTAACTTTTCGCGAGTTTCCGATCCGATTGCTGTAAAAGTAGAAGAAGTGAGTGTGAAAGTGGTCGATTACTCGGAACTAAAAGCATTTTTATGTTCAGATTGAAGTTGTGCAGCCAACTCGAGGTTCACGTCCATCCAACGTTGCTCTGCCGAGGACCACTCCTCGGCCTCCACGTACTGGTGAGGTGTGGATGGAAGAATCGGGACGGCGCAGGGCACCAGTCGGTGAGTAACTTCCAAACTATTCGGGCCTTTCTGCAATACAATTCGCGTTTTACAGGTGGTGATCGCAAACTCCTAAACCAGGAGTATCCGATCACTGAGGTGACGGACGCCGATCTGACTGTCGAGTGTGGTACTGAAAGTTCTCGTCCGCCCTACTCACCTTGTCTGGCTCGAAAAACTGTCGATGACGTGTTCAAATCGTGCTGTCAGCAACATGCAAGTTTCCCCTCCCCATCTGCGGTCGCTCAGGCGATCGTGCTCATGTCTCATATCTATCGCAATGATATCTAGTACATCTACACCCGTAGCCTTGGCGAAATCGGCGAGAAATGTCTCGTATTGGTCTTTTATTTTTGGTGGAATTAGGCACCCCAGTAAAGAGTTGAGTGTTTCGACACAAAAGCGAGAACAAGTTCTACTGAGTGGCTTTTGGAAATACTGCTTTCAGAAGAATCCTATGATTACAGTAATCTCTCCCTTTGCAGGTGCCAGCCAACTGTCACTCCTTGTGCACATACGAACATCGTGAACACGTCGCTGCAGAGACACTTATCGCTGCCGTGCAACAGGACGGATGCGATCTCAAGGTGAGCGCCTATATTCCCAAGAAAACTCCGAGATGCTAGATACAGTAATCCGTTGCAGTACCTGTCGTCCATTCTCTACTGTGCCAATCAGAACCGAGATAATCGCAAGTGCTGCGAGTTCCTCGGCATGTCTAACGCCGATTTAGGAGTAGGAGATCGGTAGGTTTAGTGACTAGCAAGTATCGTACATTATGCATACCAATCGATAATCGATTGCCACTTCAGATGCTTGCGAATGTGTGACATTGCACCATCAGGTGAACGTGTCGGTACTGTAGAGAAATCGGATTTGGTCTGCCTCTCCAATTGGAATGTGATCATGTACTGCGCACGATCTGGACTTCGTACCTTCAATTGATCTGCACAAAATCTTTTCGCTCCTCCTTCATTCGTGTCCTTTCCTATTTACCCATCCTTTTTGGCATTTCTCCGTCCACTTGCCTTCATCCTTTTAGTCGTTCGGTCGGTGTGATCGCTGCACCTCTCGAGATCTCGACGCGTTCTACGCCGACCGCCTTGTAGTCCTTCAGGGTGTTTCCGTCATGTTCCCACTTCATTATCCCCATCTGCAATCCCTCCCAGCCTCTTCCTGCTTGCACTCCCCAGTATTTCTGCCTTAAAATGTTTCTGTCGACCCAGTTAATAATATAATTCACCACCATTTTGTAATAAACGCTGCTCGGGTGCGATAATGACGTCATTTCTGTTTCTTTCGTTCTCGTCTTTCTCGCTCGTCTTTCACCCAGAGTGAGTCTTCATGTTGTGGCGTTGGTGCCAAGGGGCTCTGGCGCCCGCCTGCCCCTCCCCGCCCCGTCCAGGCATTCTTCATTCGCCCACGCAAGTGCTGCATTACCTGTGATATTCGCGCAATTATCGTTGTCTGTGATCGTCGGCGAGCTCATATCACTTTAACCGCAATCGTGGCGAGTGCTCTCAGACTTAGTGATACGGGTTCGCCGAGCCTACTGTACAATTTATTGAATTTGACATTTAATGGCATATTTATTATTTCATTTACTGTGATAGCAATCAGATTGTTAACCTGAACTAGAAATAAAATCGTTTCATATTGGTAGCATTCGATATGACATGCTTGATTAGGAAGCAGATAGAGAACATTGCTAGTCCTTCCTTCGACGTCCAGTAACGCTATGTAGGGGTATGGGATAGCACGAAAATCGCTATGATACACCCCGGACAGACACCTTTTTCGCGTGGCTTTCACGTGTGACCGGAGCTTTTGCCATGCAGGTCTGGCATGACCACCATATGTGTTACGCCGCCACATAGAGCAGGTTTCAGTCGCATTTTCTCTATTATCGATAAATTTATTCTGAAACTCAAGCAAGGGACAGACGAGTGGTTTGGAGTGTAGAGCTCTTGTTTGCACTCTGAGCCATGAGCTCGTGCCAAGGTGCAAATCAGGCCTTGCAAAAATTGCAAAAATTGGTGACGATACCAGCGTCAGGCCCAGGTTGACAGGCCGGCTGATGGAGAAACCCGTCACAACAACCATGACAAGTCGCAAAGATCAGTGTTAATGCTAGGACGTCACCCGGAAGTGGCGCGCAGAACCCTCGCCCGAGTTCTGTGGTCAGTATGCGAGGGCTACCGAGGGGTGAACGAATACCGCCAAACAAGCCAGGCTGAATAGGGACTCTGAATATGCAGTCGCTCACAGGGTAATCCCGAGAGGTCGCTGATCTGATGGAACACCAGGAACAATCAAGTCCTATGCCTCAAGGAGACATGCTGGAGAGGAAGGACTGCGGATTCGGAGGGAAGGCCAACTCTTTTATAGCGGAGAAGAAACAAAACGGAACGGTGTGACCACTCCAGTAGCGGCATCCCGCAGGAGCTATATCTGCGCCGTGAACAGAATCAATGCTTGAATCATAAGACTCAGAATAAGAAACGGAAGTGTTTTTGAAGAAGATGGAGGCAGGAAAAGCTACAGGCCTGGACGACTTGGCAGCTGACTGTGGAACTCACAGCATTGGTAATCCGCAGAATGATTTACGAAGTCTTTTAAACCAGCTTGTCGCAGAGAAAAAGGTACTCAAGAGCTGGCAACAGAGCACGACCATTCCGATCTGGAAGAGGAAGGACAGCCTGGCAGACTGCTCGAACTACCGCCCAATTCGCCTGCTCTCGCACAGCATGAAAACCTTTGAGCAAATTGTTGACGGTCGAAACTGTGACATCGTTCAACTAGCTGCCAACCAGTGTGGCTTCGTGACCAGCTGTAGCACCATAGACGCCATACATGCCGCTCGTCTTCTGCTGAAGAAATCGTGAGAAGCAAAAGCCTGTGCAATAGCCTTTCTAGATCTGGAGAAGGCATCTGCTCGCGTTCCTCATGAGGTTATATGGTACGCCTTGCGGCAACACGGTGTCCCTGAAGAGCTAATCGAGTGGGTCCGTATCCTTTATTCAAAGCCAGAGAGCCAAGTGCGGACTCTTGCAGGCACTTCGATGGAGTTTCCCATCACTCTCGGGTACACCAGGGCTCCGCACTCTCACACTCCTTTCATTGTCGTCATAAATGTCATCACACAAGAACTCCAGAACGAAGTTCCTTGGACGACTCTTTTTGCGCTGATGATGCAATGCTTACATGCGAAGATAAGAGCACGCTAGAGCAACAGGTGCTCGATCGCTTGGAGTTGGCGGAGTTTGGGATCAGCTTAAACGTAAGAAAAAGCGAGTATCTGACAACTGATCCAAGCGAGACGGGCTCCATCAAATTAGACGGCGCTGAGCTGGCGTGTACAAAACACTCAAGTACTCGGATCAGCAATCACGAGTCCGATGGAGGTTTAACTTGCAAGTGAACGCACTTGTGAGCGCAGGATAGTCGACAGGGTGATCGTCGGCGACAAGAATATAGGTTAGCGCCTTAGACAGAAGTATCCTTCGACCAGTCGGTGCTGAGCGCGACCAAAGAAGTCGACGCCCGCCCAGGAAGCTTGGGATGGCCCTATAGCTGACAAAAGGCAAGAAATGGGTCTTCGACGAAATGGGTCTTCGACGGCACGGCCATGTACTTCGCGCAAAGGCTGACACCATCTGTACGCTAAAGAATAATAATAAGAAGAATATGAGTGTCACAATAGACCGGGGTACTGGACAATACTAACGGTGTAAGCACCCAAATCCGCGCCCGAAGTTGAGAAGGATGTTTTACCGAAACATGGACGAAGCCATCACGTCCGATTCCGGAGTGTGATTATCTTACCGCAGCAGGTGATCTGATGTCACGGTGTCACGACGGAAGAGGGGGCCTAGAAAGGGTGCGCGGAGAAGAGCAAGTAAGAAGAACGCTGAGGGCTAGAGGGTTCCGGACTTGGCAACAGCCACCAATTTAGTAATCTGCAACACCTTCGCGAAGATATAGACTAAAGGGTAGCCTGTGGCAGAGGAGGGAGACAAAAGGAGATCGACCATGTATGGATAGAACATTGTCTCTCACAACTGCAAAGGGCATCAAGGTCCTGCTCAGCGGAGAACTGGGTCCTCAAAGCAGCACCTTCTCATTTGACATTTCCATTAACCTCCCTGAGGAGACGAGGATAAGAACTGAGAGGAGAATACCTGCTATACGGTGGTGGAGGCCGCGAAGGAAACGCATCAGCGATGGCAAGAGACAAAGGAGCCCAGACGACATCGTTGTCTTCAAGAACTGCGAGCGACTTGCTAAGGCACATGTCACCATGGCGGAGAACACTGGAGTGAATGCCTTACATGAGCAGTGGGAGGGACGAGGGGAAGATAAGCCTGTCATTCGCCTGAGTGAAGACCCGCGACGGTGTCATTCCAAGGAAGAAGCAGTTCAAGCCAAGAAACAATGGGAAGAGTATTTCAGTAGGTTGCTGAACGAAGAGCTCCTACGCAATGACCACTCCTGTTCAGTGATGACGGCTGGTTCCATAAAAATCTGGGCGGAAGATGAGGTTCGTTGAGAACCAACTAGGATCAGGGTCTCGAAGTGACCCAGATGGGGTTCCAACTGAGGCATGGAAGGAACTCGGAAAGCACTGGGTAAGTTGGCTCACCCACTTTCTAGAAAACGTCACAACTAAGGGAAGGATGCTGGAATCGTAGGGGAGCAGTGCAATCGTTCCCATTTTCAAGAAGGGAGAGCAATAATTCTTCACACTACCGCGGTATCAAGTTGACTTCGCTTGCCACGAAGCACCAAACGGAGCCAGCTTGATACCGCGTTAGTGTGGAGAATCATTGCCACCCTCCTGTTCAAAGATGGGAACGACTGCACTGATCTCCCACAATTCCAGCATCCTTCCCTTAGCCGACACAAAGCTAAGCGCCCTTGTCCCGATCTAGCACGAGCAGCTCCGCTTCATGTACGGAAGGTCCACCACTGATGCCCTCTCCATCGCCAACAGGTGATGGAGAGGTATCCAGAGAAGTGGCGACCCATTACTAGCATTCCTGGACCTTGAGAAGGCATTCGACTGTCTACATGCGCCTGTGCTTCGGAGTCGTTTCAAAAAAAGGAATGTGCTGGAAGACGTAGAGAAGTGTGCAATGGGCCTGAGGCAGCAGTACGCATCCTACACAGCTTGACAAAGCAACTAAAACACCATCTACAGGGCAAGGTGCAAAAATTACAAGAAGTATTGACTGAGGATGATTACCGGCTGAACGTTAGAAACCAGTTTTGAGTTCTGAATAATGCACTGAACCCACAGCAAATCGCTAAAAAGAAACCTTCACTGTGAGCGACGGTGCTTCAGAACTCTGGGCCAGGTGTACCGAGCAGTAGTAAGGCCTGCAATGCTCTATTGCAGCGAGTTGTGACCCAAGTGCAAAAACCATGGAAGACAACTCCGCTCTGCTGAAGTGAGAATGGTGCGATGGACCTGCGGATGGGTGTGACTGGATAGGGTAAGAAACGAAGGTGTAACAGCGGTCATCCGAATGAAAGCACGAGAGCAGCGGGTGCGGTGGTACGGACACGTTCTATGGTGATCTGAATACAACCTAATAAGGAAGTTACTAGACATCAAAGAGCAGGGAAAGCGACCACAAGGAGCCCAAAGAAGAGCTGGAAATACGTCCTCAAGGGGACCCCAATGATGCTAACGATACGGTTGAAGGTGTCCTGGATAGGTTGGAGTGGGCATGTCTGACAAGAATATACCATGTCACATGTCTGACAGGACACGGACCCTGCGACGGGGGAAGGACTCACGCTAGAGAGAAGAAAAAGAAAAAAGTGAGTTTCATTCTGAAACTTCGCTTGCGTTTTTCATTGACACCGGCGCCACCGGGAAAGTTGAACAACGTATTTGTGATCAGTCCTCGCACATGCAAAATGTTGACGTTAATTGCAGT